TAACCTATTTAATATGCACAATTAGAGATGTCAATGAGCCGAGTCAGCTCGCGAGCAATGATTGAGCTTTTTTTCGAGCTCGAGCAAAAGCTCGGCAAAAAAAAATTAGACTCGACCCGAGCTTTCGGCTCGGGCCTTTTCAAGTTGAGTCGGGCAGGCTTGATTTTTGTTTTGGTTTAGGAATTTATATATATTTGTAAAATGGCATTTTGGTTATTTTACCTTATTTTGAATATTCGACCTGATCTATAAAGTTAACATATGAGAATGATAAGTCATGGTATATAATTGTTATTTGTATATAACTTCAATAATTTCAATTGGGCTTAGAATGCAATCTCTATTTTTTTTAGTGGAATAGAAATGAATTCAATTTTCTCAATTGATCTAGTGTTGATCGAGTCAAGATTAATTTATTGAAGTTTAGTTTAATTGTGTTTCATTTAGGACTGAACATGGTCCGATTCAATTCAATTCTAAAGAGAATTGAGTCGGAGTAGAAATTTTCAGAGTATTTATTAAGTGGAACCGTCATGTCTAAATTTAATTATAGAACCGTTCAGATTTGGTTCCATTTGGTTCGGTTCGGTTCGATTCCCAAGTTTTGTATTATAATTAAATTAACTAATATTTATAAAGTTACATTAATTCAACTAATGATATATTCAATTTTAGTTCTTACAAACTAACAAAGTCCAATCTTATGTGCTTTTTGCATCTTACTTTGCTGAGTTGTTCATAGATTTGATTGTTAAAATCACAAGAAGAGAAAAATAGCAAACTCAAAATAATTAAGAGAAGCGTTGTTGAATTTCAATTCAATTTCTACAGAACGATAGAAATGACATTACGAGAGAGTAACAGATTTGGATAAAATTTAGTTCAATTTGATTAAGTTGGCTTTGAACTGAAAATTAGAAGTAGGAAAATTATATTTTTGGGTTTGAACTAAATTTAACTAATTAGCAAATTTATTTTAAAAAATAAAATAATTTGGCTAATTTAAATAAATTAATTAAAAAATTAGGGAGATTTGATTTTTTGATTCTCGTAGTTCTTGATTTAAAATCGAGAATCGAACCAAATCCGTTGGTTTTCGATTTAGATACCCGTTTGGGTATTTAATTTAAGATAAACCGTTCGATTCGATTGGTTCGATTTGGGAGTTTTGTCCAGCCTTAGTTTAATTAGTCCCTTTGATGGCTCCAAATAAGAATCGAAATTTATTATAAGAGTTATAATTTATAATTAATTGTAGTGGATTTAATTAATTTATTTGTATGGAGACTTACAAAATTAGGAGAAAGGATGAAATTTACTACAAATTTCTTAAGAGCAGTTATATTCACACTCCAATTTTTTTTATAAATATACACCTCATGTTAATTTTATTAAAGGTCATTAACCTTTATTCATTATTACACTTATATCCTTAATTTTTTTGTTCATCACATTCTTATTTTTAACATTTTATTGATTAGAAAATCTTGTCCTTAATCTTGCTTTTCATCAAAAAATTTTGGTAACACATTTTAAAATGAGGATCAAATATTTAATTGTATTTTTCCATTATTATTTGTTTTGCTTATTTAAAAATACAATGTACCTTAAGAGAATTTTGGAGAGAGGCAATGATTAGGAACACTTTATGTTAATTTGAGAATAAGAATGCAAGGAAAAAAGTTTGAAAAATATGATAATGTGTAAAGGTTATGAACATTTCATACAATTAAAATGTAGCATAATTATTAAAAATTGTTGTATATTTAATCATTTCTTAAAACTAAGTCATAAAAATGAAGAGAAGAAGTAGATATGGCAGTGGGGCAGATTCAGAACGGGACATCCCCCCGCCCCGGGCTTGCCCCGTTTGTTGTCCCCATTTTTTTTTTTTTTACTGTGGAAAATGGCCCACAATTAATGATATGGTCAAGCAGAATCAGCGGTCGGTAGTCTTCACTTCTAAAAGCTCCAAGGAATCTTCAAAAGGCATTGCATATGAATGGAAATACTTGGTAGAAAATCAATGTGAGCTGCCTTTTTCTAGATTAAGATCTTAGATGATATTTCTAAATAGAAAAATTTCACTTAGAAGTTGGGCTTGAACCAGCAGATGGCAATGGTGGAATGATAGCTGTATCATGTCCCAACCGAGTAGAATCATCTAGCATGAACTCGAAAATAAGATCGCTAGTCTTGATGAATTATTTTCTAGATAACCCAATTATAATTCTAGATAACCCAATTGAGGCCACTGCCTGCAAACATAATTCAGCCCACTAACTAGCTATCAAATAGTACTTTTCGAGAGAGGAATTTAATGCCTTTGATGGAGGCATCCCTCGTGAGCTCTTGTTGCTTCCTAATCTTTAGATACTGTGGGCCCCAAGAGCTAATCTTGACGGACAATTGCCTAGTAACTAGAGTAATCTCCTTTCATGCTCTCTGAGAGCCCTTAATTTGGGGTCGCATGATATTATTGGTCCTGTGCAACAGAGTTTGGGTGTCATTTGTAAAAATCTGACATTCTTGGGCGAGGCTGCCCCGCCAACCCGTCAAAGCAGGTTTTTTTACCCTATTAGGGGCGGGGTCTACCTGGACGACTTGGTTTAACCTTTTAAGAAATGGGGGCTTTCATTTTTTATTTAGTTGGTGATATTTTAACTCAATCAAATCATGTCACATCATCTATTAGCTAATAAATATGAAAATTGTAATATACATGTAAGTTGTTAGCAAATAAATTTGTAAATTATGATATATATGTAACACAACTGTTATTTGTATCCCATCAATTTAGAGAAAAACAACTTTGAGATAAAATTTAAAGTATCTATCATTCTATCTATGGAGAGAGAATAATAACCCAATCAAACATTTCATTCACCTTTTCCAAATAAATAAATAAATTTTAGAAAATAAAAATGAAAAATATGTATTGTATTTAAAAATAACTTATATATATTCATTCCTTTTCTCGGCCCATTGTAAGGAAAATTAACTGGGCCAATTTTTAAATTCTTTTTGAACATTCAAAAAATATATTGAAAACAATACATAAATCCTATATATAATAAACACATTTCAAAACTTTTCAAAAATAAGGTGATATATCAATTTATTAAATATTTAATTATAATATAATATAATTAATCACACCAATATACTGGTAAACGTTGTGCAAAAATATATGACAATATTTTTCGTCCGTTGCAAAAAAAAACAATTTTTCTTATAGTGATTTTTTTCTCAAACTATAGAACTTTTAGCAAAAAATATTTCTTGTCACAAAAAATAGACTCTATTGCATCACAAGCACTTTGTTGCAAGAAATAAAAGTTTGCCGCCATAAGTTTCCCTCTAAAAATATTTTGACGCCTTGCTTCCCTCATATTTTTAGAGACATTCTTTAATATTTGTCACGATTTCTCGCATTTTGCAACAACTTTTTATGTTATCTTATATTTTTTTGTACTTATTTTCTTCATCACAATTTTCATGACAAATTTTAAAATTGTATCACGTTAAATTGCAATAACGTTAAATCACTTATTGCAACAACTTTTTGTATGTCACAAAAACTCGTCACGAAATCACAATTTTTGTTGTCGTGATTCTTTATTACTGGATCTTGAATCTTGAATATTAACTGCAATTTTGTCATGTTTGGTTTATTAATCTTTAATCTTGAATATTACCTTCTTTTTTTTCTTTTTTTTTTTGAATTTGGCTTCTTATTCCATAATCTTATTGCTTCAATACCTTCTTCTTGATTATTGATCTTGATTACAAATTTAGATATTCCTCTTCAACATGCTATATCTTAATTATTCTTGTGTTAATGGGAACCACAAGGAATGACAAATTGCATATGAATTAGGGACCACAACCACATTTATATTTTCATATGTATTTTGGCTCATCGAGAAAACACAACTCTAATGGATCCGATCTTTATACATATAATCCGGCATAAAATTTATTTAGATGTCCTAAGTTCAATTATTATATATTTTAATTTTGGACTTAACTTTAAAATAACTTTATACACAATTAATTATATATATAGGTTCACATGACAAATTAATAAACCCAACATGGCAATCATTTGAATTATTTATTTGGGGATTAGTTAGAAGTTAAATATATTATCAATTATTGGATTTTTTATTTTTTCATACTTTTTTTTGGTTGGTGTTGCAAAGGTTTTTGAATAAAATGAATAAACAAGAAAAGTTTTATTGAGCTTATAAAACTTGTGCCAATGTCTCTTTTATTATTATTAGTCTTTACCTGTGCAACGCACGGATTAAGTTATTTTGAAAATATTGATAGTGTTAAATGTGTTGGATTCTCATGAATTATACAACTAACAATATCTTTCAATCTTTTAGGATTATTTTGGCTCTAAACTTGCTGCTAAAGCTATTTTTATCTTTAAGAACTTGTAATTCACCAAACCACCTATAGTAAATACAACATTTACACCAACAATTCATGTTGATTAATTAATCCTACTCTTTTTGACTTTTCATCTGATCTATATCCGACCTTTTTAGACAAGGATCTATCGTACCTGTTCGACCTATGTCAACTCGAAATTACTTCTCAATAGTACATTTTTAAGTGTACCTTGAACAATCTTAAACTATTTTTCTCCTACTGGCACATTTTCTCTCACTTCAATAATGTGGTAATGTCTAATTTAATACCTTTTTTAAATGCATATCCACATTCAGATAATTATCATTGTTTCTCAGGAGCAATAATTCAATTAATGTAAGTACTGCTCGCTAAATATACACTATATTAACTTAGAGCATTTTGATTAACTATTTCGTTGTTCAAAGAGTATCTCCTACCAACACCACTAAATGTACATCCATTCTTCCTTTTTTAGTAGTATTTTCTACTTCTCCATTAATTCAAAATGAAAAACCAATATCAAAATTCAAAATTGAGAGACCCCACTCCAAATTTACACCAACTAAAAATGCGTATTCAACAAAATTATTAAACACCAAATCTCATCATAAATCCATATAAAGTTTAATATCCCAACAAAGTAATTTCTTTCATAAAAAGGAATAAAAACTTGCTCTACCTTCTTAAAAGAAGGCGCTTTTCGATGCTGTTTGTCCTCAAGGGGAGTGCCTTCAAATCAAAACTTGGCCTCCTCTTGCTACTACCTCTTTTGTGACATTTTCAAAGCCCGAGGCAAAAAACACTATTTCCACTATGCTTTGATGTATTGTACTATGTAGAGATAGAATAGTATCAAGAAATTCATGGACATGGAATTGTGATCACACTGTTGTTTGTTGAGCAAAAATAAAGACCAACATGATGTTGTCCCATGAAAAACTCTTAAGGTCAACATTTGAACAGTAAGAAAAATGAGGAGTCGAGGATTGTAAGCATCTAATGAAGGATGTATCACAAAGAAGGGAAATGTTATAAAAAAACATCAATCAAAACTTCATCAGCATAGAAATTTGCAACAAACCTGAATTTCAAGGAGTGGAAAGTCCAACTCCAATCAAATATAATCAGCGGCCAATATCTTCTCTTTTGAGGCCATTTTACTCCTCATCCCTCATCATCATTAAATTGTTCTCCAACTTACAAAGATTTTATAAAATGTCAGATTTACTGCTAGTTCTATCTGAGTACTCAAACCAAACTGCACATCATCCTAGAAAACATTTACATGGCCCGCACACCTTATTTCCAAATGAGATGCATGGCTGGTCAAAAGTTTAATCCCATGAGAAGAAAACAACATATAACACATTCATCATTACCTTAGAGCTTCAAACAAATTACCCGCTTGGCAACGAAGTAGTACCATTACTTAAAAAATCATTTGCCACATAGTCATGTTATCTTTCAAAAACCATACCTACATGCCTTCTTCAAGACCCAAGTTCTTGCACCAAGCAACTTTTTGGCCCAAAAAAACAACAAAAAAACTCATTCACCATTCAAGAGTCCATAAGTGACACTGCTTTGATGCACACAAGGAGTAATGACAAGAAGGGTTGCAAGCACCAATCCTTGAAATGAGGAACATATTGGTTAACATATTTTATATGTCAAAGGTGAAAATCGTAAGTTCACATTATTTTCATTAAAAAGATTCATTAACTCGTAAAATTTTAATTAAATGCCATGATTTACAAGATATCAATTAGGACGAAGAAATTCATAAAATAATTCCATATCAAAAAGATGTAAACCTGTCAATTTTTGCCTATTTACTCATAAATATCATTACTTTTTTTAAATGCATTTCAAACTAATTATGTAATAAGACGCTTCACATAATTGCCTCGTGAGAAAGATTCCTAGATAATTGTCATCCTATGTTTCAGAATTATATCCAACAACGATAGTTTAGAGACAATTGAAGAACACATTTTTGCATATGCTAGACACTTCACCTGCAAAACAACAACAATGAGATACATTCTTTCCCTAAATAGCACACGCAAGCATACTTATAGATAAGATTTCCTTGAAATTATAACATTACTTCTGCCATTTTAATCCAAATGAATTGATCAATCCCAACAAACATTGGTGAATTGTACTTTTGTCATTTACATTACTTTGCCGTCATGATTTTTAGAAGTCAAAAACTCTACGTGCAGAAACCTTATACCCGTGCAACCTCAGAAGCCTGAATCCCATTGTTGTATCATCAATTTCTTGTACTTTCGAATTTCTTGTCCAGTATATTTTTTCGCAAGACTTGCTCTTTGTTGAAAGCTTGAAAAATATTTAGTGCAACTATGAGCTAAAAATTGTTCTCGTGATCAAATTATGCTAGGGAAATTTATTAAAAGGGACGATATGGTAGTAGTCTAGAACTATATCTAATGGAATACAAAAGAATCAAAAGCAATTATTATAAAATTTTAGAATGATGAGAGAATCAGAAGCTTACAATTTAATAAGACGTTCATAAAGAGATCTGCATTCTTGAATTATTTCATTCTTGTCTAGAAATTCCTCCAGTGTAAAATTTATGGTCTCCACCTGAAATAGAAAATATTCTCACTTAATAAATCACTCAAAAAATACCCTACATCATATTTTCAGAATAATTCAAGCACGTTAAGGACAGGACCTCACAAATACAAACAAGGTAGTTGGTCGAAATAATACACAATTTCAGAATAAGTCAGCATAAAATATCGATAAGAATAAGCACACATGCATGAAAATTACCATTGAACCATGGGTTACAGCGGGTCCAAAGATTGAGACGCTATATACTCTTTCAAAACAACGATACGTTGATAAAATACTGACGAATAAAAACTTAAAAATTGCTCAATATTGAGTTTCTTGAAAAGAATAAAATCTTTTTTTACATTCATTTTGCAACATATGCATTGTTTTATTAAAGCTTGACCAAATGTTAAACACGACGAACTGGAAATTTCAAAGTAGTTCTGAACACAATAAATGTATTTCTTTCAGGCTGGCACATTTATGACACAATGCATAAGCAAATGATACATTTTGGTTTCAAGCAATCTACAAGCAATTCCCACAAAAACAGTGGTGAATACAAGATATAAAATTCATTTAGAAACCAATACCACGACACAATTGGATCGACGACACAAATGGAACAATTACAAACAAGTTGGCTTGGGATTCAATAGAATAGGCAGGAATCATATTTCCCTTAATAAACTATCAAGAGAATAAGTATGGGATTCCGTGCAGCAGAAGGGGTAAAAAAAAGAGCAAAAAACAACGTATAGTTTGACAATCTAACAACATTGCTGCTTAACCTCACCACAGAAGACTTTTATTGAGTTAATTCCCACTTATAAGTTAAAAAGACAAGCATATGAAACCTCCAAATATATCCCAACAAAAGATTTCTTTCATCATGTACCATGTTGTGAACTTCAACCAACTAAATGCTTTTTGATTCTTCTCTTCAATGAAATTTCAAATAAGATAATATTTGTACTGATTGAATTTAATACCACAACTTTTTCAGTTGCACGGATTGGTCTCTAACTCTACGAAATAGTGATATCCCTGAAAATATAATATGGAAGGCATATGATAATACAAGAAAGCAGAGTTGCCATAACAATGATCCTCCCCAGAACCCGAGTACATGTATCTACTTTTAAAGAATTGTTACATTGCTTCCCCCATTCAATCAATTACAGATTATGGTTTATATAAGTCAAATACTATTACAAGTCCTCCAATCATAGTGGTATCATAGTAGATCGTACAAAACCAATATCACAATTACACCAAAGGATAATGTTCCACATCTCCCCAATACAATCCAACCTAACACCTCATTCTACTCTCAAAATTTCATAGTACTCCAGAAAATTCACATCACTGGGTTCAACTATATCTCATGTCCAATCAGAATACCAAATATTGGATCCATACCACCAGTAAAATAATATACAAAATATATATTCAAGAAAAATAAAACCACTTACTGGTGATGCAGTGGAGAGGCCCATGTGTGAATCATGAGTGATGATTTTCTTTTAAACTCGGCCACATCATCTCTTAAGAATATCAACTCTTGAGAATATCAAATTTGTGTGAATAAGCTTTTTAGGAGTTGAAGCGCTTGACCAAGAAAAATGCCCAAGTAAGTAGAAAGTACAAAATAAAGGAACGAGCAAGATTCGTAAAAAATATTGAAAAACCTAAACTTTTTCTGTGGCTAATTGTCTGTGTAGTGAACTTGCAATCAAACGGCGATGAAGAAAGTAGAATAGCTTCCCTCCACAGCACTTCGTCAACAACAATACAAAAGAAGAGGAAGAGGTCCTCTGAGGATTCCAATTTCTCAGATGTAAACGAGATCTGTGGTGATTTTTTTAGGGTTTTCTTTTGATTTTGAAGTTCTCGTATAGTTCGAAAGAGGAAGAACAAATTAAGGGCTGAGATAAACGAGATCTGTGGGGAATTTTTTATGGTTGTCGGTAGATTTTGAGGTTCTTCTGTAGTTTGAAAAGGGAGAAACGAATGTGAGGCAAAGAGAAGAGGTGAAGAAGGTATGAGAAATGGGTTAATTATATGAATGGTCACTGAAATTTGCCCTATGTTACTACTTAGTCATTGAACTTAAAAACGTAACTCAATGGTCACTAAATTTCGTCAAGTGTTAATACTTCACAACCGAACTTTAAAATGTATCTCAATGGTAACCGAACTTTGCACCGTATTACCCATTCATCGCTCAAATGGAAAATCCGTTAAATCCAACAAACGACGTTAACTTGAGTGATGGATGGGTAACACGGTGCAAAGTTCGGTGACCATTAAAATATATTTTAAAGTTAGATTATAAAGTAGTAACACTTGACAAAGTTCAGTGACCATTGAGTTACTTTTTTAAGTTAGTGACTAAGTAGTAGCATAGGGTAAAGTTCAGTGACCATTAAAATATATTTTTAAATTGAATTATTAAACTCTTATTTGAGTCTCATTCTTTCAAAAGAAAAAAATACATTCGTAAATAGTGATTTGACATCATTCAACCACACATTCTTCAATAAAATAATATTACACGCAAATTCAAAACTTTTCATTATTTTTTAACTGCACATTTTCCTTCAATATACTATTCAAAAATTCATTTTATCCCTCAAAATGGTGATCAAACAAAGCTAAGCTTCTCAAATCGACCTCTATGAAAGAAGAAATCAAAGAGAATGAAGGGAAAAAAGAGGAAACAGAAAATCAGAGACCTTCAAATTAAATAAAAATAGAATTGCTGCTAATATTCATCCATCACGGTGAAAAAATACGTTTGATTTTTAGATCAACTGGTATTGGTTCACCGTATCTCAAACTCCGCATAAATAGATTGAAAGAGAAATAGTAGGAACACTAAAAGAAATTGACAAAGAAAAATTAAATAAAAGTACAAAAATATTCGAATAGTGTCAATGTAACTGAGGTTGATTTGAACTTTGCCCTATGTTGCTACTTAGTTACTAAACTTAAAAACGTAACTCAATGGTCACTGAATTTCATCAAGTGTTACTAATTCATAATCGAACTTTAAAATGTATCTCAATGGTCACCAAACTTTGCACCGTGTTACCCATCCGTCACTCAAGTTGATGCCGTTTTTTGGACTTAACGAATTTTTCCATTTGAGTGACGGATAGGTAATACAGTGAAAAGTTCGGTGACCATTGAAATCATTTTAAATTTCGGTTATAAAGTAGTAACACTTGGCGAAGTTCAATGACCATTGAGTTACGTTTTTAAGTTCAGTGACTAAGTAGTAACGTATGGCAAAGTTCAATGAACATTCGTATAATTAACCCTATAAGAAATAGACCATTGTTGAAGGTTAAAATGGGAAAATCGAAAATGCTTCCCAAATGACCAGTAAATGACAGATTGCCTCTTTTAAGATAGTAGTGATTATTATTACTCGGGTTCTATTTTCAATCCTGCTATGTATACCCTTGGCCTTACTTGCTGGTTTACCCGGTGACGTGGCAAGTAGCTTTTCCCACAAATTGAAGAGAATTTGAAATGAATTGAAAAAGGGACAAAAGTTGCGACTCGGCCCAACATAAACCCCTAAATCTAGTGTTACCAATACAATCCTTCATTTTCACCATTTCAAACCTAACAAACGAAAAAACCCCTCAAATGTAGAGAACCCTCGACGGCAAAAGAGAAGAAGGTCCTCATTTGGATTTGCCCACCACGACGACATGAAAATGCCAGTGCCCAGTATATAAATCGTGTGTATGCTTGGGGTTCCCACCTTCAGCTGATCGGCGACTTCTTTCATTTCTTGATCCGCAAGGTAAAATCTCCACCATAGTGAGGAAGGGTGTCCATCTCCGGCGCTGTTGCCTCAGGTGGATTTTCGAAGGACGTTATGTAAGTATGATATAGTTCATATGAAGGAACATTGATGATTTGTTTCTTCTCGATTGTTGCCCATTTCGACTCAATTTATAAATATGTATGTATTTCAAATTTCGACCAACCCAAATTGGAAGGAGGATAAATTATCAGTGTGTGTATTTAATTTGTTCTTACACCCGAATTGGAAGAAGAAAAATTTTTTGGTGTGTGTGTTTAATTTTTTCTTCAACCCAAATTGGAATTGTAAAGATTTGAAGTTTATGTGCATTTCTTCTGGTTCTAATTGTAAAATTTTAAGGTGGGCATTGTAAGCTTGTAAAATTTAGCAGTGTTCTAATTGTAATTTTAGGTGGGCATTGTAAGCTTTCGTCTGGTTCTTCAAATTTAGCAGTGTTAGAAGTGTAATGTACAGGTGGTCATTTTAAGATTTCGAATTTGAGACCTATGTTGTGTACATGCCTTTATTGATCAATAAACACCAACACATTTGCAGTTTTGTAATTTGACAATGTTCTGTGTATGTCGTGCATTGACTAGTAATATGCTGGTTGTTCGTATGTTAGAATGACAGGAAAGAATTTCGGAATCTGCCACAGCTGTAAACAGAAGGGGCACTTGTTTGCTGATTGCCCTAACAAACGGCGATGCCCCGTGTGTAGACATGGCTTTGTAAAGTGCTTTGAGGTTGAAAGAGAGACGAAGAACAAGGGAAGGTTGTTCAATTGCTGCAGTGTTCGCTGTACCTATTGGAATGGATCGAAGTAGGAGAATCAAGTGGCGAGTCTAGTACTATTACCATTAACTTGAACAACTCATCGGCACTTGAAGAAGTTCAACAAATAACTCACACGTTCCAATCTCTTTGATGGCTAGTGGAAGAACAAGACATTGAAATTTCTGTAAACGTGACAATACGCAAAGGCAATGGAAGTGCGGAAGCAGATAAGAAAGGGAAGGGGCTGACTTGATTAGGATTTGTGTTTTGTTAGGATGTTGTGTAATATATGGTCTGTTACTTGCAACTTTTGAAATTGAACAAGTCATTGTATTCTATGGAATTGTCCAATTTGCTCTGTGTTTGCAATATACTTGTTTTATTGCTAGCTCAAAGTTTTACTTTTTAATGTTGAGAGGGCAAACTATTAAATGCTTGTAATTGGAGAGATAGTGTTAGTGCAAAGAGTTACTTCTACGGATTGTTTTATTGCCAGTGGACTGCCTCTCTCCAAAATTCACAGAAACATCCTTGCATACAATATTTTAATCCAGAACACATTCAATTAGCAAGTGCACTTTTTACTGCTTATTAATTTCAGCCCTAATTACAAACATTTTTCCACAACCAAGATTGCAAGAATATGAAAACATGACATTCCACAAGATTAAAGCATCATATCAATTTCATGAACACTGCATTTTTTTATTTAAAACACTTAAACATTGCACCAATAAGTTGAAGATCATACAACTCAATAATTTTGACCACTCATAACCTATTACATCGCTACATTCTCGGATCCAGTAGTTCTCTTCATCCAATGTCAGAAAGTTGCGCCATGTTCATCAGGCACATTCGGATAGTAATACGGCATTGCGTTCCCTAGTGCAAAATGTACAAGTTAATACACAAACAAGAGAAAATAAGAAATTTGAACGACGAATGTTTAAGCATGTCAGTACCTTGACTATTCCATGTAACAGTTGCTGAAGCGGAATGAATGACATTGGGCAACTGTAGGTGTTGTGTAAGCTGGTGATAGTTCTCACCACCTTACATCAAACAAAAATGGAAGAGCACACGTGCTAATGAAAGTGTTTTACATTTAATTGTACCTACCAATAAGAGTTGTGAATATGACATCGGTGAAGGCATGTAGTATTGAGCTTGATGGTGCGACTGAATTATTGGTGCACCATCTCCCATTTGATCCGGGTGTGCCTTTGATCTCCTTCCCTTGGCCGAACTCGGATTTGCCTGCAAAACAACAAATTAAATGGGGTATTATTAATAGTATTACGCACTTTCGTACTACACAAAATGTTTGACGCATACCTTTGTCTTAGTAGAGCTCGATTCCAAAGCACTTTTCCTTCGCAGTTTCCTGGGTGCACCTTTTCTCTTTGAGCATATCGGATCTTATATGATACCTTTACCAGAATGTTGTGATGCTCCACTCTTCGAAGCTATCCATTCCGTGCAATGGGACATGGCATTACTTCCACAACTCGACCTCTTCGTCCCAACTGATAGTTCTTTACTTTCTATACACTCCAGTATCGATCGGACTTCATTCTCATCATCTGCAGTTATGTTCGCAAGCCTAGCAAATGATTGACGCATCTTGTCATATCTCAACTATGCCGAGGTGCTACTTAAACCATCATAGTTAACTACAATCCTTGTGTGAGCTCTGACGACATCTCTCGTCCACTTCCGTAATACGTAGGTGTCAGGCAATGACTTCACGTTGTTACGAAGCAACACAGTGATTGCATGTCTGCAAATTATTCCTCGAAACTCAAATAAGTGGCAGCTGCATACAACTTCGCAATTCTCTTTCTAAAATGTGACACATAACTTCTTGTCAACCCAGTCGTCACGTATAACGTCTTCCCATACTTCATATGTAGTCCCCAAGCAGTCCACTGATGAAAAAACGAGGTCGCAATAAACCTTCCCAACAAATTCCTCCTGTACTTCCCTAAATTTTGAGATCGTATAAACTAGCTGAAACCGCTTCTCCATCTCGTACTTCGTAGCACATGATACCATTTGCGAGAAGTACTTGAAGTCCGGTTGAAACTCCTTCTCTACATTATTCCTCAATGCCCGTTTATATTGTTGGACAAATTGCTTGAGCGATGTCTTCGAATGTACGTATCCATCGAAAAACGCATTCATGCTCTCACTGCGCTGAGTCGTCGACATTCCAGCCTAGAATGTGTTTTTCAAATAACAAGGTACCCAACTACCTCTGTTTGCGTACAATCCAGATAACCAGTCATCATCATGCAGGTTAAAGTTATTGATCATCGTTTCCCAACCCTCTTCGAACTCTTCACCGGTTTGAGAATCATACACTAACACATGTATAGTAGAGAAAATCGCACCTTTATCGACGTGGTATCCAAACTTCTCTGACAACTTCTTCAATATATGCCACAAACACCACCTATGCCGAGTGTTTGGAAGAACGAATTGAATTACGTTTTGCATGGCCTTATCTTGATAGGTGATTATTCCCTTAGGAGTTTGGTCATGCATGCACTGAAGCTAAGTCCTAAACAACCACACAAATGTTTATGTACTTTCGTTGGACACCAAACCACAACCAAGTAGTGTCGATTGTCCGTGATAATTAACCCCAGCGAAAGGTGTGAACAGCATGTCGTACTTGTTAGTCAGGTACGTGGTATCAAATGTTACAACATCGCCGAACTCCTTATATGCTTGCATATTCGAAAAGTAGACTTGTATTGTTGCGACATTTCCATCTCCAAGTAGGGATGGCAATCGGGCTCGCCGGCTCGGGCCCATTTTGGGGACACGGGCTTTGCCCGAATTGGCCCGTGAGCTCGCGAGCTTTTAAAAAAAATTAAAATTTGAGGCTGCATTAAAGCTGCCTTTTAAGCAGCAGCTTAGGGGGGGGGGAAGAAGCAAAAAGGAGGAGAAACCATCCTGCCCGGCTCTGCCCAGGAAAAGCCCGAGCTAGCCTTTTTTTTTTGGCCAAGCAACAAAAAAGTTCGGCCATTTTAATCGGGCAGAGCCCGAGCTAAAACTTTAGGTTCGCGAGCCGGCTCGTTTACATCCCTATCTCCAAGTCGTAATCGCCTAATTTGTTCAACATAGTTTCGACAATCCTGTTCTATGCAACTCAAGTTCTCATACCCACCCACTTCTACAACTGCAGCGTTGTAACTTTTGTGCAGCAGAATCCCTGCCATATCATTCACTTCAAGTCGCCGTTCGATATGGGGCACTCAACTCTCGGTTGCAACGATACAATCTTGACTTCGAAGGACTTGTTTTTGCTTTGCAACCCGTCTGAATGGTAGCGTGCGGCTTCAAAGAACCAGTTGCATTACTATTTCTTTGTCCTTCGTGACTACATGCGAACACAACATACTTCACAACTCCATAATCATCCTTTTGCGAATTCTTTTTTTCTAACTGGGAAGCCTACGTTGTATGTATATCTTTTGTAAAAATCATACATGTCTTTTTCGTCGTTGAACTTCATACCCACATTGGGCACGGTTACACCATCTACTCCCACAATCCCATCACCCACTCCATCAACTCCTAATATCTCATCATCCACTCCTACTACTCTATCCTCCACCAAGTTGACACTGTCTACAATAGACTCATTATCGGATTGTAACGAAATATGTTCATCCACCTCTTTTGAACTTTCATTCACTGCAATAAACAACCAATTAAAGAATGTTAAAACTAATTCACATAACTATTTTTTTCAGGGCAAATACATGTTCGAAAATAATATGAACACATTATGACTGATAAAATATTTACTAGCATAAAAAGAGTACAATGTGACCTTGAAAAGAAATGATCATTATGACTGATAAAATATTTACTATATTGTTAATTTCTGATTTTGTGGCATCTTCTATCTACGTCTTACTACTAAAATTATTGTTCAAACCAAAACAATGTCAGATGTCTACTGTGATTTTTACGACATTGCTTGCAAAGCCATTTAAGTTGACAGGAATTTGCTCGGATCTGATCACACATGAATAATTTTGAGGTTTCTTTTAGAATCCATAATTCAGAGAGACGTCATCAGGACTCTCTTCTAACTCGTCCCACAATGGGCATTATAGAAAAAAAAAAAAAAAAAAAAAAACTTCCACACCCATTTCTGTGCATTTTCATGTATATGGATAGATTCAAGATATGATGTAAGATGATTTCTTCTCTTGTTTTTGAAAAGCTATTATTTGAATCTTGTATGTCGATGACAATGATCCAAATGCCAGTAAAACAAAGAGCAGGCCCAAATCAATTTTGAAAATTTACAGGGACTCTGGCACTTTAAAGGAGAGGTAAATTAATTTGTCTGTGAGTATTACTTAACGATGCTTGCTAATATTTCTGGTAACCACAGGAAATCTTGCATAATCAATACTAGTGAGTCTTCTTGAATTTTTCTTTATTAGAGTGAAATTTATTTATTTTAAATTTAAAATACTAGCATAAAAGGAAAATATGGGTGGAATACACATTAACAGTAAGAAAGAAAAATTTGGGAAGGAATAAACCCACACCTTTGGTGCTCATCTCTTCCAATCCACAGTATCTTTTGAGCCGACGACGTAACTCACACGATGGTGACGTCAACAGCTCCTTCTCGGCTGACAGAATACGGGATGGGTTGAAGACGTCAACAGCTCTTTCTCGGTCAACTTCTTTCACGACAGCTAGGTTTCTCTCTTCATTTCATTTGACGGGTTAAATGTAGTCACATTACAGGGGATTTTTGACTTTGTATCTTTTACCTTTTTCATTTGTTTTTTTCCCTCCTACAGTGGTTTTTTAGCTCAGCGTGTAAGGCAAAGTGTTAAGAGAAAGGTACAAATAGCTTTATTATTCTATTTTTCGTTCGGGTAGTGATTGGTGTACCATGTAGGGGTTCACAGAACCCCTACAGATACCTCACATGGATGGGGTGGGTCGATGGATTTTTTTGATATTATTTATTCATGTGGGGTTCACACTTTGTGAAATATCTGTAAATTTTCTATAAGAATCTTTTCTGTACGTCAAACATTTTCCTTTACGTTCTCCTTCATTTACTATTATATTTTTTTTGATGCCATGAAATTTTAAAATGTATCCTAAAAAATAGCTATCATGATATGAAAAACGAAAGAAGAAAAATGGAAAAAGCGAATAGTTAATAATGGTGCTCGTACTGGGTTCATTGTTTTTTTCTTTGAAAATTGATAGATTCATTCTTAAAGAAGGACGAAATTTAAACTATGTACTTGAAACTTCAATGAAAAATTTCGCTAACCTATGAATCGAGGGATCACTGCGAAACCCGAAAATGGAATGAAAGGAGCCAATGTGATTCATGAAGCATTTGTGTAGACCCTTATCCATTTAATAAAATCAAGACAAAAATTATTAATTGTGTCACAAAAAAAAAAAAAAAAAAAAATTTTAAATTTTGCAAAAAAAAAAAAAAAAAAAAAAAAAAACTTAAAGAATTTCATATCTTCAAACTAATGCTTGTTCGATCCTATTTTTTAAAATTCATTTTTTCTCAAACTCATTTTTAATTACACATTTTATGAAACTCGTAATTTTTATTTTCTTTTCAATTTCACATCTAAATTAATTTTTATCAAAATCTACTTAAAATCTAATTTATATCCAAATCAATCAGGACTAATTAAGTTTATCATGGTCAATCTCTTCTAAATTCTAAACTCGAACGTTAAAGTTGTGTCCGTTGCATAACTTAACTCGCGTAAAAGACTGCAACACATATTCCACCACTTCAATTAAACCACACGTCAATCAAGGGTGCCATACAATTGTCCAGACAAAAACTGGCAATGGCCATGTGTAGTGTAGAGACTGGTAAATGTGTCAATTAATACTGTGTTTTCACATTTCAATATGGTTAGTGGTTGCACTTTGTGACCAATGTGACGTGATTAAAAAAATAAATAAATTGGGACCATTTCTGGAGGGGCATACTATTAATATTATTATGTTGGTTGTGATTAAAAAAATAAAAAAATAAAAAAATAAAAATTTCAACATGCTTCAAGTCATGGGAGGAGTTAGGGCCATGTTTGTTATCTTTTAACAAAATAATTTGTTTGCTATATTAAGGTCCTCTTTGAGCCATATTTTTTCAAAAAAAATACATTCTTCAACAGTGATTTGACATCATTTCAACCACACATTTTTCAATAAAATAATATTACATGCAAATTCAAAATTTTTCATTATTTTCTAACCACACATTTTTCATCAATACGCTATTTAAAAATGCATTTTCATTGAAATAATGTGGCTCAAACAAGGGCTAACATTCTCCACCACAAATTTACACAATAAAATATTCTACACACAAATCAATAAAAAAATTTTAAATTTCAACCACATATTCTCCAAAAATTAATATTCAAAATTCTATATTTTCTCCCAAAAATGGAAGACAAACATGCTCTAGATTTATAGATTGAACCACTTGCATGGTGTAGTATTGACACTTTCAACAACTTTGCTAGTTTGACAAAAAATTTAGATTGTTCAAAATTTTGGGAGAATTTGGTAAAACTTTGAAAGAGAGATGATATATTTAAAAGAATGGGCAAAAGTTTTGAGAAACGATGGTTAGCTTGAGGATAAAATCTTAAAAATCATGGGTCCTAAAAAACAAGTTCAAGATATGAGGGGCTTCTCGACAGTGTCCTATCACGTGAAAAATAGGTTCAAGTTTTATATTTCTTTCATAAGTTTAAATAAAAAATATGACAAGATATCGTTAGAGACAACAAAAATCTTCAGACTGGGCCAAACAATACCTATCTTGTCTTAGAAATTGCAGATAATGTCAATAAGGAAATGTCATTTGTACCCTCCAAAGTATATGTCATGTTTGACACTTGTTTAGTTGTAAATAAATTATTGGAGGGCAAACTATCAAATGACAATTGCCGCTGTCGAACTTGATGCACACTTCACACCAAGCATGATTGATGTCCATATATATTTGAATTTGACAATGACCCTTGCACTGTAAACTTATAAATAGACTAATATTACTTTGCCTAATTTACTTTTGATAGAAGAAAATAAAAGGTTTGGTCAAAATAAATAAGATAAATAACGTAGTTTCGACCTTCACCATACTCAGGAAAAAAATATTTTAGCTCACTCAAGCATGTTACAGTACCAAAAAGATTTACAAAGGCTACAAGCATTTCTCTCCTCTACGTACAGGCATGAATTAGTTCAAACTTACAAAAGCCCCGCAGGGGCGTCTCTCTCCCTCTCTATTTCTCGTCCCCGTAAATTAAACATCCATAGCTTGCAAAACTCAAAACCAGAATGGTGTCGTTAAGCAATCAGGTAAGATACTAATGCTAAAATATCAACAAAGAGAAGTCATACACTAATTCCACCATAAGGCTGCTAATTCTCATGCTTCCTATCAACACAAGTAAGGAAAACCAAAAGTCCCAATACTAATATTTGGTCCCTATTGTGTGGTTTGAGAAAATATCTTTGGTTCTGGTCTTACCCGAACCAAATCCCATGAAGTAGTTGAAGTCATGGTGTTGGACCCTTAATTGCTTTAGCCAGGAATCTGCGACGCCCAAAAGAGACACCAACCTCTCTTGATCCCTACCATTCTTGTTCGAGACCCACACATCCCCTTGCATTTTATAAGTGGCCATACCAAATGGAGGGAGAGAGATGCATTCTCCTTCCTTTCTTTTACTTTCAGCACTCCACCCCTTGTCATCCTCAAGGTCCATTTCTGCAAAATCATAATTGACGCTTGTATTAGAATTATGTCAAATACAAACGAGTCCAAATTCATTCGAAACAAGTGCATACCTTGAAAAGAAGAAGAAATGGTGTGGTACGTGAGAAAGCCTGTGTGCAAGTCTTTAATGGTTCTTCTCATTGGAATGTGGTAGATCGGATACCTGAATGTCATTCATGTCGATAAAATTACACATACGGTCCTTTATTATGGTTAAAAATGCAATTGCTTCATAGAAATAGAGACGAACCAAGCGACAGCCATCCAGCTAGCAGGTGAAAGATCTACACTTCTTAGTGACGATAATCCCGGGTATCTTTGAGCTAGGCTATTGATCTGTTAAACAAATAAGTAAAGGAGTCAAATTATAATAATTAGGCACGAATAGTCGGAGAAATTGAATCATCAAGAACAAGAACCGTGAACACGAACTAGAAAATGGAGTTACCTTGTCCATGAGAGGAACTCTTTCATATGGAGAATTTCTCTCAAAGTACTGAAAGTAAAGATTACCCAATCTATCATTGGGATGCCAAAAGTTATCGTGCTCGAATAATCCTTCCTCAGACGAACACCCATCCCATCTATAAAGCTTCTCGCTGTCACTCTCATCACTCAATGAATCACTAAAGAAATCCCTTGTCTCACTTATGGTGTCAGTCTCTTCCCTATTATATTTAATCACAAAATAAATAATTATTTTGGCAATTCACAAATAAATACATGGAAAACAAATGAAAACAGAACTTTATCAACACTAATTCAATTGGAAGAAATCCAAATAAATACAACTTAAATTTCAACTTTCACCAATTCAATTAGAAGAATACCTTACACAGTTCACAGAAGAATTGCTGGTGAAGATTTGGATTGCAGAGAGATAAGGCACAAAATACTGCACTAAATTTTGGCCATCATCAAGAGTAATTGGAACTCCAGCACCATAAGCACTCCATTCATCATAACAATTCCAGAGATCACCCAATGTAAAATAGTCTAAGTTTTCTCTTTCCCATGGATGCCATAAACCATTCAGATTCTCCATGTCACTCTGTTCACAAATCATCAAACAACAAAAGGGACAAATAATCAACAATCATAAACACGATTTCATAAAATAAAGATTAACCCTCAAAGCAGGCAGACGTGGGATTGTTACATTCGATAACATAGAGTATTATTTAAAAAAAATAGAAAAAGAAAAGAGACAAACTTTGGGCAGCAAATGGGATGGAACAACTGGAGTTACACAATCCAAAAAGCATTCAAGGTTTGTATACATTGAAGCCTTGTCAAAAATCAACATGATGATTCTTCAAACAGAGAAGAGTGAGAAAGACAGAGAGGTAGAGGTAGAGGTAGAGAGACAGAGAGAGAGAGAGTTTTCACTGGTTCTCTCCCCTAGACAGAGGATTCCCAAAAGGAATGAGAAAAAACAGAGAAAATTAAATGGGAGAGGAAGAGAGAAATTGAAGGGATTTTCTTTCTCTATTATACCCCTCTATAAAATAGAGATTACTATTGTTTGACGATTGGAGAATCACCACAAATCTTTTCAATATTTTTCTTTCCTCGTCAAATTTAATTCCACCTCTTTTCAGGAAAACTCGGACAACTCTGAAATCAAAGAACCCAACAAAATTTATAAACAAAATAGTCAAGAAAAAAAACGGTCTTTGATTTTCAATGCATTCTATGGATTTTCATTTTTGGAAAATGACGTGAATTCTGTTTCTAAATATTCAAGATACACCCCACAGATCTGTGAGAGAGAGAAAAAGTAAAAGCAAAGAAAATGAGAAAAAACTCAGAGCATCTCCAGAAAATGAAATGATCATTTTCAAGGTTTCAACGGAAACTCGAGAAATATTTCATCGGAACAGTGTCATATGCATAATGGTCTCCATCTTCTGACAACAGATGGATCATTTCTTCATAAAGTGAAGTGGGAAACTATTGACAATATCGGGTCACTTATTTGTACGTAACCGATAATTAGGTGCGATCTTCAATGCTGTGTGTGAAGAACTGAAGATAGGGAGAGTAATCAAAGCCAAGGAGTGGAAGATTTATCATTTATGACTGGTAACATTTCAGATTTGTTTGTTGACTATGATAAATTTCGTCCTCAACTTTAAGTTTATCTTGATTAGATAACAGAGCTTTAATTTTGTTTCAAAATTCACTACGTAACCATGTTTTATCCCCAATCGTACCAAAAAAATAAAAGAAAGCAGTTTAATTGTCACTCATGTTATAACTAATGTTCCATTTATAGGTTTTTTTTTTTTATAGGCCCCATTGGGCTCTTAAGAACCAAGTCTTTTTTCCGTCTAAGTGACATAATGAATTTCTTTTTCTGTTTAAAATGAAGTTTATGACAACGCTTTTAGATTGAAAAGTTAAAGCTCAAAATTTTACGTTAACAAACTTTGTGGCATCTCATAGTGGTAAGCTGACATGGTACATAGATGTTATGTTTTGATCCATTGTCGTGACATGTGTAGCTGTCAATTAAGTAAATATTTTCAATTTGAGTTACAGCAAACAATAAAAATGGGTTGAAATTTGAAGATCAGTATTCAATTAACTATCATGCTATTTGTACAATATTTTTTTCACAATCTTGGTTGACAACACACTTGACAATATCACATCATCTATTTTATAAACTGTTTTTTTCATCAATGGTTCGGATTTTGACCATATCAATATTATCAACCGAAATTGTTAACCAAATGACAATTCTATAACGACCACAAATTTGAAATTTACCCAAATAATATTTTTTTAGAAAAAACAAATTTAGCCTAACATTGGATTATTGGTAATTTTCAGTCCATGACTCGTGACTTTTGGCATTTTGCACTCTTCAACACCGAGATTTGTTAACTTTTAATTAAACAAAGGGACCATTTTGTACTCCTGATATGCAAAATGTCAAGTCATTAACCTACAAAGTATAAAGTGCCAAAGGCTTTGTGATTTTAATACATTTTGATAGGCTACAAGATGGGTCTATGCAAAGAAATTAACTCATTTCTATTTATGTTGAAAAAAAAAAAAAAAAGTGGGTATTAAATGCAAGATTGAGGATCAAATGGTTCAATTAAAAGAGTAGGGACCAACTTGTTACTCAATCTTCAACAATTATCATCAAACTTTGTACTCATTGACATCGTGATTCTAAAACTATTAATTTGCCCCCATGACACATCTCCAAGTGGTAAAAGGGAAGGGTCGAGAAATCCAACTTTGTTTGAGGCTGCCGCGTCAAGAGTTCGAATCCTAAAATATAGATTTGGCTCTTGAGTAAGTGCAAGTGTACAAACAGCCTTCCACCCTGTACCATTGGAGACATAACATGCGATTTATCTCCCTCACGATGTTCCAGGACAGAGGGGGTAAGGGACCCTTAAGGTTGGGATTCAACCTTTTTTTCTAAACCTATTAATTTGTAGTAAAATTTGTCTCCTACGGCAAATAATGTTATACTCGGTAGAAAATTGACGCTTCATCCTTTAAACGCGACAAATGTATAGATTTCATAACCATCAATGCTGCACCAAAAGAAATAGATAGAATTCAGTGAGCTAAAGAGACTTCCAAGCAAGAAAGAGTGATGCCATGTTGGCCAGAGAAAGGCTAAAGGTTGCAGATGAAAAGACCATAGCGAGGAAGAAGGCACAATATAGTGCTTTAAGTGATTACTGTGGAATGTTTTTGTAATTATTGACCTTTTCTTTACTGTTTTTGAACTTTATGTCAACACAAATTGAAGTAAAGTCCACAAAATTAGCTGCATAAGTTATAGATATTCACATGTCAACTTTGTTAGATTTCAATCACCTGCTCAGAATTTATTAAATAAAGCTATTTGTACAAAGTTGGGTTACAAAAGTTGGATTACAAAGTTTGTTGACAAAACTCAAGTCATTAATTTGAAATGATTTAAAAATCTGTTTTGAAATGATTGATGTGGATGTTATTTTGCCAACAAACTTTGTAACCTACATTTATAAGTGTAACATAACTCAAATTTATTGGACAAACAATAAAGCAAAGTCGATGAAATTCAGTGTCAAGAACAAACTATTTTACCTGCCTTTCATAGAACGATATATAAAAAAAAAAAAAAAAAAAACAACCCTGTATGCATCGAATGCGGGTGAAAATGCGTAACATCATGACATAAACCAAAATCTTGGAATCCCAACAACTATATAATGTGAAAATGAAATAAGAACACATCCTAGTATGGATAATGTCATATTCACAAAATTAAAGGACTTGACTAATTGATATATACAAGTGTCTACTTTTGATAAGACTCAACTACAATTATTTACAAAATTATTATCCACAAATAATCCCACGGCAGGTAGTAGTTGGCGGATCAATTAGTCTGGTGCTTTCTTCTTGTCAAATTGAAAAAGCATGTTTATTACTGAAACCTGCTTTTGGTTGGAATCCCAACCCCCGCAATAACAGCATCTTAAAAAAGGTTGAACTCCAATCTTGAGAGTTCCATCGTCCCGCCCCGCCCCTAGTTGATATTAGACATGTAACATACATACAACCCAGCAGTATATTGAATAAAATTTTAAATTAATATCTACTTCAAAGATTTAATGAGATTATTCCTCGGCATTAACAATCTTTATCCATACCACCTCGCTATAAGCCTCACACAGCCACAGGCTGCTTGACACTTTCTTGAATCAAGATTGACTTCACTTGGGATACTTTCTTGTAAATAATTTTCTTTAAGAAAAATTATCATTTAGTTTGAATGAAAGATTGTTATTTGTGTATCTTTGGAAAAATAAAAAATAAATATCAATTCTATATCAAACAGATAAAGAAACAAGAGACGAGCAGTAAAATCAGTCTTACAGTACTAAAAGTCATTCTCTAATCTCTATTCACAATCAAGCAGTGGTATACGGCGTAACAGATTGAAATTCTAAATTTATAGAAGTCACAAAGTAACCAAACTTGCACTTGATTTCCTGCGGAATTCATTGCTAGATTAATCCATTGAATCCTAGTGTCAATGTTATTTATGTGCTGATCGTTATCCGACTACAAAACCATCTATTATCTCTTCAGTTGGCGTGAAAACCACCAAACATGGCATCGGTTATAATATGTATTCTTACAAGCTTTCTCGAGGAAAAATGGGAACATGATCCACATAAAATAGGGTGAAAATGGGACACGGGATAGAAAAATGATCATAGTATCAGACAACTCAATAAAAATAGCACATGCAACTATGCAAAAAAATAAAAAATCAAGTACATACATGATTTGGTGCTACATTAAAAGGAAGAAGGTAAGGTCACCAAGGCAAAAAGTCAGTTTGAGCTAAGGCGAACATAAGAATCTAGATTATCGAACTCTGGATCTGTCCATGCCAAGACTGTAAATCTATCGAGGACTTGAACTTGAACTGAACGCTCCATACCATATCATCACCCTGCAGAACTTACAAATAAACAAATAAAATATAACCCTAGATGAGCAACAAATGTAATACAGTAGTTCTATTTACAATCCCAAAACTTCCTTAATGCCTTCATTCAAAAACTCAAGTGTCAAAAACATACGCCAGGTCAATCGAGTCCAAATATGTTCAGGCACAGCATTAAAATTGTTCGCATCCTTGACCTAATG